AAGAAACTTCCTTCAGCTTGTCTTTATCCACGCCTACTGAAAAATCTCCTCTGGCAACTTGTTAGTAACAGCTGTTGAAATTTCAGTGGGGTCTACTATCGCACATGAACACTTACAGTACAAATTTACCTTATCATCCAGCTAGTTCATTACCCTTCTCTTTCCTTTCCTTGAGTGCCATTTTCCAGGGTTAACAGGGTATTAAGCATACCTGGCTAGATTAGAGGTGGAAGCAGGCCTGCCCTTTCCATGTGTGTAACAGCAGGCAATTCCAGATCATAAATATAAAACCAGAGACATGCACTTTTGTGTATGAAACCATTAAGAGCCCATAAAGAAACACATCCTTCACCTTCCTTTCACCACAGAAGAGAAATGAGGTAGCATAAACACAGTATCTAAACTCCAACCTGTGTTGCACAGGACTGGCTAAAGCTGCATTAGAGATGACCTCTGTAAAAAGAAAAAAAGTATATGGAAAGTATAAAAAACAAACAAAACAAACAAACAAAAAACTTGATCTGTGGGTTTGAGCCTTTTCTTTTTAATCCTAGACATAAATTCTACTCCTTTCTGCTCTTAACAGATTTATTTCTTGTTGACTTCCTGGATAAGACTAACATTTTTCCTTCGGCAGTTGGTTGCCAATATAACCTTTCAGCAGGGGTGAGGAGAGCACTAGTGGCAAACAAAGAAAAAAGAGAGGGACAACTATGAATATAAACTATTGCTTTCAATTAGATGTAGCCCAGTGTGTGTGTGTGTGTATGAGAAAGTATATAAATGCAGGGCTATTGGCATGAGGCGGGATGTTTAAGACTTTGGGAAAGTAACTCCATCAAAAAGTGGGTAAAGGATATGAACAGGCACTTTTCAAAAGAAGACATTTATGCGGCCAACAAACATGAAAAAATGTTCATCATTACTGGTCACTAGAGAAATGCAAATCAAAACCACATTGAGATACCACCTCATGCCAGTTAGAATGGCAATGGCAATCATTAAAAAATCTGGAGACAACAGATGCTGGAGAGGATGTGGAGAAATAGGAACACTTTTACACTGTTCAACCATTGGGGAAGACAGTGTGGCAATTCCTCAAGGATCTAGAAATAGAAATTCCATTTAACCCAGCAATCCCATTACTGGTATATACCCAAAGGATTATAAATCATTCTATTATAAAGACACATGCACATATATATTCATCATGGCACTGTTTACAATAGCACAGACCTGGAACCAACCCAAATGCCCATCAAGGATAGACTGGATAAAGAAAATGCAGCACATATATGCCATGGAATACTATGCAGCCATAAAAAAGGATGAGTTCATGTCCTTTGCGGGTACATGGACGAACCTGGAAATCATCATTCTCAGCAAACCGACACAAGAACAGAAAATCAAACACCACATGTTCTCACTCATAGGCTGGTGTTGAACAATGAGAACATGTGGACACAGGTAGGGGAGCATCACACACTGGGGTCAGTTGGGTGATGGGGGGCTACGGGAGGGATAGCATTGGGTGGGGAGATTGGGGAGGGATAAGATTAGTAGAAATGCCAGATGTAGATGACAGGGGGATGGAGGCAGCAAACCACCATGGCATGTATATACCTATGTAACAATTCTACAAGATCTGCACATGTACCCCTGAACTTAAAGTATAATTAAAAAATTAATTAATTTACAAGAGTTTGGGAAAGTATGGATGAGTGAGAGTGTGGGTTACTATCACTATGTGTGAACCAGTGTGAATAGATGTGGGTCAATGTGATTATCTCAGTGGTAGCTCAGTGTCAATGTGTCCATGTGAGAATCTGAGTAAGAGTATATGGTGGATTGCAGGAGTGTGACTTCCTGAACAGGTGTGTTCATGTAAGTGTATTAACGTGAGAATGTGGCATGGTGAGTGTGAGTCTATGTTGCCATATGTGGTATAAGTAATTGCCTGTGTGAGGCACAGTCAAGTGACTATTGCAATGTGAATTGTGTATGTCAGTGTGGTATGTGCTAGTGTGAATGCCCATCAGTGACTTTGCATGTCATTATATGTGCACTGGTGTGAATGTATGTAGCAATGTGAGAGAGGGCATGTCAGTATGAGAGTAGAAGAGTGGGAATGTATAAGAATGTGAGTGTGTGGCAAGTCTGACTGTGCCAGTGTGAAAATGTGTGATGTATGAGTGGGAGACGGTATGTCAGAAGGTATACATGTTCATGTACACAAATGTGGAGGAGTATGCTTGTGTGTCCATGGGACTAAGGGCATGTATAATTTTGAGTGTGCAGTTGTGAATGGGAGCGAGGGATATGTGAGAGTATAAGTACATGTGCAGTATGTATGTTTATGTGAATTTGTATGAGTACTGAATATGAATGAGCATATGTATGTGTCATTCAATGTGAATATACCTGTGTGTGTAAATGATTGTGTTTGAGTTTGAGAGGGTAGTGATGGTTGTCTGTAAAAATAGCTGAGTTTATAAAAATATGTGTGTGTGGTTATATTTTAGAGTGTGTGCCTGCAAGTTTGGTATAGAGTGTGATGATGTCTCAGTGTGAAGAAAGTGTGTGAGTGTGAATGTGTTTGTCAAAATATGTGTTTCTATGTATGAATATGATTCTGTGTAAATGTGTCAGGGATAGGGAGATTGTTTTAGCTCTGTGTATATGAATGCAAGAGTGTGTAATTCTAAGTGTAAAAGTGCAAGTGGGTAAGATGGTGCTTATGGTATGAGCAAATATGAACATATATGAGCATGTATGTACATTTGTGTCCCTGTGATGGGTTTGTGACTCTGAGGAAGAAACAGTGATGACATCAGTGCAAGTATACTGGAGTATATGAAATTGAGTATATGCATGGCTGTGAGTGTAAGAAATGGAGTGTGTGCAGGGGGAAGTCAATGTATTATTTGTGTACAGAGTATGTATGACTATATAGGAATTTGAGCAGGCAAGGGTGATTGTATCCTCTGTGTGAATGTGAGTAAGTGTGAAAGTGTATGACTGTGTGTGAGACTGTAATATTAATAGCATAAAGGTGCGAGTGGCTATAAACATGAAGGTCGGGTATATGGTAAGTGTATTGTGTGCATCAATATGAAAATGTGAATATGCGAATATTGGTTTGTGGCAGTGTGAATGTACCTGAATGTAGCATGTATGTAAATATGATTGTGTGTAAGAGTGAGGGGGTAAGAGTAATCACCACTTTGAATGACTCCAGTATGAAAAGTGAGTGAGCCCAGGGGATAATGTGACTGTGTGAATGTACAAGAGTACATGGATGTGCTTATGAGAATATGTATGTGTGTGCACGTGAACTAAAGATACCAAAATAACTTGCATGGGATGCTGGGAAATTCTCTCCAGAAAGTCTCTTTCTTCCCAAAGCCATAGCATGTCTCCAGTTATAGGCAAGTTCCTTAGCTTCTCTCAGCCTCTATCTCCTCCTTGGTAAAATAATAATGATGATAATATCTAACTTGAGCTACTATCACTTGTATAGTCAGAAACAGCAATAACTATTTTAAAAAAATACCTACCTTGCAAGATTACCATAGGAGCAAATTGGTATGTGCCTAGCACAGAGCTGGCAAGATTAGACAATAAATACATGTTATTATTGCATCTGTCACAAAACACCAAAGAGCGATCCAGGGGCTTCTCATTTTAGTCAGTTCTAGTTACCTTCTGTCCATCAAGGTCTATAGAGGATCCCCTACCAGAACATCGCTAGAAAGTTGAATGCGTCGGTATCAACAAGGCTGTAATTTCATACCTTCAATTCCATGGCTGAAACTCTGGAGCTTCCCTTTCATAAGAGGGCATCGCAGAAACACCTGCCACTGAGGTGGAGTTTTACCTTGTCTGTAGGTCCAATGTATGCTCAGTGTGAAAGGGAACTACATTGTTTATTCCTTGCTTGATTTTTGTTTAGTTCGTTTTTTTTGGTTGGTTTATTAAAACATTTGGTTGGTTGTTTTTTGACTTGGGTAGTAGGAGAGATGCCTAAGCAGCTGACAGACAGACAGAAGACCAGACGAAGGGACAGCAAGCTACAAGCAGGTAGCTGGACTGCAGGGAATAGCAACAGAACACCAGATGGAGAAGCTGACAGAAGAAGTTATGATCCCTGCCTGAAAGGCAGACAAAGAGACAGAGAAATGATCGGAGAGGCAGGCCATGAAACCTGAAAGAAGTGCAGAGGAAGAGAGAGAGGCCCAACTTGCAAAGCTGCTGGGGAACTGTTGAGCCCTTTTAAGGGAGACCAGAGATCTGTAAGATCTAGTCCCTGCCCTTGAAGAGCTTACAGTCTAGTTTTCCTGGTAAGAGGAATACTCCAGAAACCATGCAAGAATTACTTAAGGCAGAAGGACAGCAAGTGCTACACTGCACGCTACAGACTCAAGTGTTGTTGGAGACCTGCTAGAGGCAGCGTATCCTGGTTTTGTGGGAAAGCAGAGAGAAGGTTCGGGAAGGTTTAAGCCAAGCCTGACAGTCCTAGAAGCAGGGATGGAAGGGGTGGGGGTACACTTCAAGTAGAAACGTCAAATTAAGGTTATGGGGCAGGAGAAATCACAGGAACTAATTGGCAAATTTGCAGCATGTGGCTAAAAAGCCACCCAGGCACCAGGAAAGAAGGGAAAAGGAAATGACAGCTTGATGGGAAGCATGTCTGTGTTACACTGAAGCTCTTAGATGCTGCTTGACATCTGCAAAGGACTTGGCAATGATTGTTACGTTATTTCTCCTCCTCACCCCAAAATGTAGGTCAAGGATGTCATTCCCATATTACAGATGGGGTGGGAGGCAAGAGACTAAAGGCAGCTGTACTAGGCAAAATTCCCCAGAATGTAGGGGTCATGCCCTGAGGCCTAGCTCATGAGGTCCAGGCAGAGTCTTTGATATTGGGAGATCTGGTGGCAAGGCAACATTTGCCTGTATTTGGAGATCACTAACTCCCTGCAATGGACTCCATTACTCACCTGACAATGCCACTGCTGCAGGACTTCAGCACAGGTGGGCACTGCCCATGAGAAGGGCCCAGGCTGACTTCAGCTCCTACGGACTCAGTGCTGGACACACCAGCTGCCACAAGATGCAATGACTCAGCTGCTCTTTCTTGGGGGAAACCTGCCGAGAAAAGCATTGTGGGGGAGATGGAACCTCTTTCCCCACCTGCTACTGTTCCCTCATCCAACCCCCACCAAACATCATCATACGCACACAAATACAAACACACACACATACACACACACACACACACACACACACACTCTCTCTCTCTCTCTCTCTCTCTCTCTCTCTCAATTACTCTGGTGAATTTCAAAAATCCCTCAAGAAAGCTAGAAAATCAGAGAGCTAAGAAGTGTACTAAAGCATTGTACATAGGATTCCAGAAAGGGCATAGAAGTGGGAGTCAGGAGATGGGAGTAACAAGTTGAGAACTGCTGTTAGCCACCTCATCATTCTGGGCCTGCTTGCTATCAAGTGAAAAGACCTGCCTTAGTTGCCTTGGGGAAGTGTTGGGAAAACGAAATCAAATAAGACAGATTTGAGATATTTATATAGTTTGCATAATTATGGAGCAATGTGTATAATCACAGGAGGTGACAGAGTCCAGTGGACAAAAGGAAACTGAGAGACACTGGCCAATGCAGGTTGGCTGTGTGAATATGAGTTTCCTGATGTTGCGGCACTGCATCTCCACCTCCATTTCCATTCCCCTTTTCACTAACCTCTTTCACTGGAGAAGGGGAAAAAATGTCTGTGTCCCAGGCAACAGCATTCTGAGGTCTTCTAATTTGCTACCACCTCGCAGGTGCTGAAGGCCACAGCCTCTGATCCTAATTGGAGCTCCCCTCTACCTTCTCCTATCTCTACCAGGTAAGTCTTGACAATCTTCCCCAGGTTTCTTAGGGTGAATATATACTGTTTACTGTTGTTGTTTGGTGATAATTTACTCTATTTTTCCAAAAGAGGTTTCCATGTCTAGCCATGAAGGAGACAGTCTCTTTGGCCCCTCCTGTTCTGCCTTTTCCTACAATCCTTTGAGCCTCTCAAGGGAAAAGCTGATCTTCTCTTTGTAGGACCCCAAGTTCTGCAATCCATCACCCTCTGCTTTCCTTCCCCCTTCTCCCAATGGTGTTTGTCCTCAAAGAAAAGCAGTAACTACATGCTAATTCTCAAGAAGGCATGATTCAGGCAAGCACCTATTTATTAGAGATCAGAATGAACAGGATCCTAATCCAAAGAGATGGCTAGATGGATATCTAAACAAGAAGTTCGCAAAATTGAAGCCTTAGGGAGCCAAGAAAAGCCCCATAATCTAAAATTCCCCCTTCTGGAATAAAAAGTCCAAGCTATGCTCTGGGTCTGCCTCTTGCTCTTGGGTAAGACTCCAAAGCATGTCTGTCCCCCAGCATCCCTGGCATTCCATGTGTGCTTCCCACATGCACACTCCAAGCAGCCTTTCCAAATCCCACCCACTGCGCCACTGAATGGTGTACTTGCCCCCTCCCTCACTGCGTGAGCTCACCCTGCAAGATCTTACCCTGCAAGAGGGTGGGACGAGGAGGAGAGGAGTGCGAGCTGCCAAAACTCCACAGAGGGGTGGGGCTCAAGGAGGGCATGGGAAGAATGGCCTCAAGAAGCCCGCTGCCCATCCCTGGGGATGACGGCAGACAGCAGAGGCAGCATCCACCCACTGGGGTGGGAAAGAGTACTAGAAGATGTTAGAGGAGGAGGAGACACCCCCAACCTGTACTACCAACCTCCATGTTTTTGAGCAAGATCAAGAGCTTTCCTGAAGCCTACCTCCACCTTTCCCTAGCCCTAGTTGTAGCACCACTTTTTAACTCCATGACGGCCTGCCTTGATTCCACCATTTGCCCGGCTAGAGTTAGTTGCAGAATCAACTGACAGGACACAGTATTCCACCTGGGAGCAACTCTCCTCTCACCTGCCTTGGAGTGTGTTGTTTTGAAAGTGGGACCAGGGGAGATATCCTGTGTGAGCACATGTGCATGCTGAGTGATGTGTACCTGTGCAGTTCCCTGTACCATGTTGCATGTCTGGGTATGTGTGCTGTCATATCTACCATGATATGTATGTATTGAGTCTGCATCATATTGTGTACGTGTACAGCGCCTTGTTAATATCATGTTGTATATGTGATCATATATACTGTGTGAGTGCTATGGGGCTGTACTCTGCTGCATGTGAATTGCATCTCCTCCATGCTTTGTGTATGTGCGATGTGTCTCATTCGTATTGTGTCATACTCTATGCCATGCTGTGTGTCTGTATAGTGTTGTGGGCATTGTGTGCCTGTATCCTGTTGTATGTCTGTACCGCCTTGTTATGCACCTATGGCTCAGCCTCTTGTACCCAATACCCATCACCAACCCAACTCCAACCCCAGCCACCTTGCTGCATTCCAACTTCATGGCAGAATCCCTGTCTGGGGACTAGGGCTGCCACCTTGGTGGTGGGAGTAGGTGGAAGAATGGACAACTACCCACTCTACCATAGAGGCTTCCCATGCCGAGTGTCTTGCTCAGCACTGAAAATGTCTAGGAAAGGAAGTTTGGAGCCTTTTTCAGGCCCAAAGGAAACAGCACTGAGGAGGAAGTTTGGGGGCACTGACTCCCTCTGTAAACCCCAAGCCCCTTCCATATATTGCAAGGAGAAGGACTTTCAGGAAACAGTGGCTACCTGAGCTTCTCTGTCAGCCTAGTTGGAAGGACTAAGAGCCTTCTCCACAGGAAGTAACAGCTGCACAAGGGCACTGGTGACCAGACTGGGCCCTGGGATGCCTGGGGAGCTCTGCTAAAGTTGTCCCCAGTAAGGTCACTAGAGGGCACTGTTGTGCTGATTAAGGATAGTGTTTCTTTTTGGGTACTGAATTCCACAAAGTCCCTGGGGCTCAAACGGAGATGGGGGAGAAGGACATGAAGGCAAAGGATACATGCCCTAAGCCAGGCCCTTCCTTCACCTTCATCCCAAGACTTTGTTTTGAGATTGGGTTAGGGAGTAAGGCCCACTAGTGAATATATGCCACCCACCCATCTCCTCAGGTCTGTGAGACCACCCCCCTACACACACACACCACACACACACACACACACACACACACACACACACAAAACTTTGCAGGGGCTTGGTTATAGGGTCCCTAGCAGATTATTAACTTGGACTTCTCTTTTCCCTCCTGTTCCGTATTCACTAGAAGTAAACGTAAAGCCACACTGCTGAAAGAGATGAAATATACGTGGTTGTGGGGTTGCTTGTTTTGTATTATTTTTCCCAAAACTGGAGAGCATACAAAAAATATGGGGTCATTTTTCTGACAGGGAAAAAGGTATGTACTTTAGTGGACCTGTCTTCACTAACAAGAATAAATGGACCGACTTCCCAAATGTCACGACCACCTTTTATAGACCACTTAGTGCCAACTTCATCATTTGAAAGACAAGGAAACTGAGGCCTAGAGAGGGGCAAACACATTGTCTGGGACCCCCAAACACAACAGGGGTCCTAGACTGTCACTGTCTGGCACAGTGTGTTTTGGGGTCCCACACCAGGCCCTCGCCCTTCAGAACACTTCACTTCTGACTCCCAGGGTTCATTCCACACCAGTTCCTGGTCCTTTGGCCCCTAAAAAACTTCACTTTCCAAATCCAGGCCCCTCCAACCTCAAAGAAAAACTCTGGCCTCCCTCTCCACCATATGAGTTCCAAGGCCATCCTGTTCCATCTCAGCAATCAGGCCTCTCTGTGAGCACACCTTTCTAACGATTTCCTCTTCCCACCAGTAAATTGTTAATCTCTTCCCAGTTTTCAAGGTCCATCTCCCCATTATGTTTCCCAGACTCAGACCCAGCTGTAGCTGCACTGTTTGCTCCTCATTGCATCCCCTGGGTTTAACAGAGATTGCCCTAACCTGCAGATAATTGACCGAATGTGGAAATCAGACACAGATCTATTGTATTGATTAACATTTCCAATTAAACTCCCGGTTAGGCTGTGTGTATTAGTGATTCAAATTATCACCGCGTATGTAAATTCAAATGCCTTCCAAAGCCACGGAGCGCGGTAGGAAGCGACGCATATCTGTGAAGAAATGGAAACTGCCAGACCCGGAGGTTCATTTGGTTCTCCGATAACCCTAAATGAGATTTTAAATGTGTGGCTGTTAGTTGATCCGAAGCTTTAAGCATCACACCTGAAATGGAGGACTCGGGTCCTGCGCGTCGCTGCAGGCCCTTTCCTGCCCCCTGCCGGAGAAGCTGCGTAGTGCCGAGTTGGCAGACAAGTCCCCCCCAGGCCCTGCAGAGGGAACCGCCTAGCCCCCGGCAGGCGGGGGTGGGGAGGGATGGGGATGGGGCTGGGGGACGAGCAGCGGTGGGTTAAACTATGCCCCAGATGCCTAGACTGCTGCATTTACCTTCCGGAGTAGAGGTTTTCCACAGTTCCCTGCGCGCCCAGGATCCTCAGGGATCCTGAGAAGGAGGGCTTTTTTTTTTTTTTTTTTTTTAAAGCAGGGGTCTCAAACCAGGTCATAGCCCACCTATGTAAAAGCAGTCAACCTACCTGTTAGGCCAGATTGATAGCGCCCCCACTCCTCTTTGGGGTCCTGTCCTTCCCCACTCCCCTCTCCTTACCCAGGAGGAAAGAGTCAGTTGTTGAGGCTGCTGCTCATTGAGTTTCTTCTTGTTCTCTTGGTTAAAGCTACTGGTTCCTGAAGGTGGGTTACATGGGTGGGAATG